TCTTTGAGATACGAAGAGAGAAAACCCTAAACCGGAATTTATAAGGGCAACAGTTTGGGATTGGGTTTTTGACGTTTGGAGTGTCAGTGTATACTCAAATTTGTGACGATTTTTTAATTCCTAATTCGGTTAGTACATGAGGTTTTTTTAGCGGTTGAAAAGAAAAGTGAGAAATGTAGTTTGGTTAAAACAGACGTATAGACGATAATTATGATTGATGACAACCGGTGGATTAGTGTATAAACACCATAGTTTTCTCAAAAGAGTTAAGAAAGGGGTTCAAATATCGTTGTGCGCACAACGAGTCAAATTGAAATTGAGAAAGAAAAATACAATTGATTTGTTGATAATCGAAAGGAATACAAAGATAGAGTTTTGCAAATAAAAATGCCAAAGTAATACAATTTAGCATTTCAATTTGTTGAGAGTCTTTTGTCGAAATCCTCTACTCGCGAACCCAAACTTCCCCTCACCCATTTGGGCTTATATGGGTTTTTTTGTTACTTTAACTTATGGGCCGGCCTGTTTCTTGTTAATTAAATTTGTTTAATCGTTTATTTAGTTAGGTCAGATTTTGGTTGTTCTTTTGGATTTTAACCTTTGGCAACCAAACATGACTCAAACTCAAAGTGGCAAATCATAATCGATTTTGGGTGGTCCTTACTAGAATGAGTAGATGAATGTTACAAACCAGTACACTACATCGTAGAAAAATAAAATATTCTGTAATTATTTAATTCTAGTAGTATCAAGTGTTGTGGTTTATATAAAAAATTCTTCAGATTAATGTTCATTATTCACAAATTTAACGATAAAATCATACATAAAAGAAAAGGTTTCGATGATTTTGCAAAATTTTCTAAAATCTAATGTGACTTATCCAATTCAACACATTCCTCAACTTTAAACTCCAAAATTATATGATTGCCAAATAGCTTGTAAACTTCCCATTAGGAAAAGGTTTGTTTCTTATAAACAGAAGAAATCAACTTCTTGTATATGTTTTAAAAAGAAAAATAATAATAGCAAACTAAACGGGGTTTATGCTTTTAGCATGTGGTCAAACTTCTTATTTGTATTTGGAATCAACTTTTTTTAAATAAACATAAGGAATCAACTTTTTGTATTTGT